CATAAGCACAACTTATTGATAAAATGAAAGGTTAGTCATTTTTGACATCAAAGGTGACAAGAAGAGAATACGGCTTGAATTTCACCCTATCCAGTTTACTATCATATTCTGCTTCAACAGCCACTGATAATTATTTTGTTTTAAATTTTCAGGTCTTTGACCCAGATCTGGATTTAATGGTCACGCTGAGGTAAAAGCTACATAACATAAGGGTTTTAACTACATCACTTCAACAAAAGCTTGGGTGCAGGTGCCACTAAAAGAAACTGGGATTCTTTTTAAAAGAGATTCAATATCAAGGAAGTTTACTCTCAATTATAGCAACAAAGATACATAAATCATATAGCATTCAGAGACGAGCCACATGACTCATGATGAAAGGAAAATATCTTACATGGAGCGGTTGAAATCTCTCCATCTTCTAACCCTTAAGTCTAGAAGGACTCTACTTGACTTGATCTTCTTTTACAAATGTTTAAAGGGACTCTTAAATATTAACTTATCTAGTTTTATTATTTCCAGACAAAATGCAGCATATGAACGAAGAAATGCTGATCTGTCATTTAAAACTCAATATGCGAGAACAAACATGCTAAAATATTCCTATTTCCATAGAACAGTTAAAGCCTGGAATTGTTACCTATGCATGTCAGGAAGTCTGAGTCTCTTTCTGATTTAAAAGTCTTTGTAAGGCATATTTATACCAGTTAGATGCTGAATTAACCTAATTTTTTATTATTATTATTATTATTATTATTATTATTATTATTATATTATTATTATTGTTATTATTATTATTATGTATATAGGTATGTGTAGTGTTTTTCTTTTTTGGGTGGCCTTTTGTAAGGGAACCTGTTCCTGTTTCTTGGCCTTCCCCCTCAGCTTTGTATATGTGTTAAGTTTGTTGAGAAAATGATTAAAGTAAAAGTAAAGAACTAGCAACTGATTCAAAAGGCACGTTATTTCACGCATGTCGAATTTTGACCAGCCTCTTTCGCAGCTCTTGTTTAGGATTTCAAGCAAAACTTCTCACACAAACACCTTTTTGAATTGAACGGGAAGGAAGTTGAGTTGTTACTTAGAACTTCGTCAAAGGAGACAACATTTTAGAGGGAGTCCCTCCTGTTTTAATTCCTCTCTCTTCATCTCACGCCTCTGAAATGCAGTGGCATGTGTGGCAATATTTATAACAAGAATTAGTCAATAAGAAAAAATATTGGTACATTGACCCTTTCAAAGAACAAGTTACCAATGATTTGCTTGTCTTTGTTATAACAATACATTAAGTAGAAGGTGACAAGAAAAAAGATTCTAGACTAGAGAATATGGTTTGATTAAGCACAAAATTCTCAGGACTGAAATTGTAAGTCATGTGTCTCAGGTGACGAAAATTGATCTCAAGAGTGACAGCGGCAAAGCTCTCTCAGATCTTTTCAATACTGAGACATTCCATAAGGTGTGTGCCACCATCTAAAATACTCATCGGGGTATGGTAATTTTAATTTTTACCCATAACTGACAATCTATACTACGTGTGAATGAATGGAAAACAGTATACAATCTAAAAAATTTCATCAGGTTAACATTGAGAACGACTGGGACCAGAGCAGCTTTGAATATGAACAGTGTTAAATTCTATTAAATTTTAACATTTCCAAAATACATTTCAGTTAAAAGAAGAAAAAATCAGGGATTAGGAATATATTACATCCTGTGTTAACTGTTTGTTTCCTTGTTTTTAAAGGTTTTTTCTTGCTTTGCTATTAATGCATTAATAAACATCTTCAGGACATATAGAGAAAGAC